TACTCTTTTAAAGCTTCCAATTCATATAATTTATATTTTTTACTATAAAATTGAAGCCTGAAAAGCATCTTTACAAAAAATAATTTTTTAATTATTTTTGTTCATCTGACTTACTTTAAACCAATCTACCGAAATGTATGCGTAATGATTACTACCAACAGTGTTAGATAATAGTAATTAACCTATATTGGTTCTCTTGTTCTTCATCGATCACTTTTAATGGGTATACTAAATGCTCGAATTTCATTGTATCGCTAATTTTTATAGCCTTCAACTCTTAAACATTAACAGGTGTCCTTTAATTATTTTTTTCAAATGTTTTAATTTCATCCAAAGGTGTTGGAAATTTTATTCCGGTAAAATCATAGTCGTGTTTTAATGATTTATAATTATTTATTACCGACAATATTAATGTGATTCACCTTTATTTTTTTGGTTAATGCCATCCTTTTAAAAAATAAATTNATTCACCTTTATTTTTTTGGTTAATGCCATCCTTTTAAAAAATAAATTATCAATATTTTGGGAATTTATAACGGATTTTTTATTTTTATAACGCTTTGCAAATTGATATACGAGTTTGCAGACAGTTGAGTATATTTGTAATTGCTCCCCTTCCCCGCGTAGTTTTCATGCTCGTCATATAATTTTTCGAGTTCAATTTTAACAATCTCCTCGATAATTCTGCCGTCAAATAATTTCACAGTGTTAGTTTTAACTAACAAATTTCCTTTGTGTTATCCTGATGGGGTATATGATAGGCGACTTCTAATCTCAAATTGAAATTTATAGCATTAAAGTTTACTAAACATTCTTTTAATTTTTTCATCAATTTGTTTTTTATCAGAAATAAAAGTTATTGATAACCATCAATTTATCCTAATTTTTTTTATAATATAAAATATTTTCAACGATGAACTTATTAGTTGAAAATTATTTGATGTACAATCATCCAATCGTTTTTGTTTAGTTCATTTATTCCTAACTGTATTATAATTATAAGAAATTGCATGTCACTTCCAAATCATTCCACTAGTACTCAATTGTATGACAACGTTCTCATTTCCTACAATAAAAAAATATAATCTCTAATAAAAACACACACTAGCTATCTCTATATATGTATATTAAACAAATTATTATAACTACATACCACATGACATTAAAGTTCCTCAATCAGCGTGATTTCCTATCGTGAATTCCATGCGTTGCAAGATCTATTATATTTTTTAATACGCGATTCACTAAATTATATACATTTTTTTTAATTATAAAATAATTGTAATACTCACGGTGTTTTTTTTTAGCGTGATGCACCAATTCATATTTTTCTAAAAATGTTGAACTACATAAATGACATGGAATTCTCACATCATCGTGTTTTATTTGATGTCTCACTAAAACTTCTTTTAACAGAAAAAGTTTTTTCACGTTTATAACACGAAAACATTTTTAATGGAACTAATTATTTCAAATTTGTGTTTCATCAACTATTAAATTATGAGTAAAAATCGCCAATTATTTATACAAAGATACACGACTAATTATGTGCTATTAACATAGGGTAATGAACTTATTGGTACATGTATTTTTTGTAACTTATAGATGAAACACAAAATCTAGTTTTTTATTAACACGCTTATATTAGTTTCACCTGTATGTTTGTGAGTTGTTTGTAACTTTTCACTCGCCACGTGTCTACGGCCTTGAGACTAGACGGTCGTAACACATTCACCCCACCCCGCTCACCACTCAACGAAAACAATATTTTCTAATCCGTAGACGCACGCGTGTTATCAATATATATACATACAATAAATTTTTATTTTGACTGATACGGCCCCGCATCGCTTCGTTATACACAATGCCCCGCGACTCGTGCCACCTTTATCAGCCGTCGCCATACTATGAGTATTTGACTGACCAACATTCTGCGTTATATGCCGCGGTGCAAAGTCCAGGAAGTGCCGCACGGCCGACGACGTCCCGCCGCAAATAATACCGCAGTCTTCTTCCCATTGTCAAAGTGACAACGTCGACGAACCGATCCGCACTCGCGCACCGTCGTCATCAACGCTGCTAACCTTTTGACACCCGAGGATCACTCCGGACATCGCGTCGTCTACGCCAGCGATAGTGCCGCGATATTATGCGAAGATTATATTCCTACCATCGCCGCTAATATTAATAT